AGCTCTCTTTCTGGAGCCCATGTTTCCTGCTTCCACCACCAGTGGACCTGACGTTGTCTTTCTTGTCCGGCTCAGCTTTGGCTCAGACGTCCTTTCTCCAGTGAGCGGCATCCTGTTCAATGACGAGATGGATGACTTCAGCTCCCCACACATCGTCAACGGCTTTGGGGTCCACCCGTCTGTGGCGAACTTCATTGCCCCAGGTAAGGCCTCTGGGGTGTCTCTCTTGGGGGCTTTGCATTCTGGCCAACTCTCTGGGCAAGAGCTTGGCTGGTGGTCCTGCAGGCCGCTTCTTCTCTGCCTCCCTTCTTCCTTGGCCAAAGGACACTGCGAAGCCCCTCTGGCCCACACCAGCCCCGAGTCTCTTCCACCTCCACCTTTCCTGCTAAGGTCTGGTGGGTAAGCGGGCTTTTTAGCAAGGCCGAGGCCTGGGAATGCCCATCTAACTGCTCTCCTCCCTGACAGGGAAGCGTCCTTTTTCTTCCATGTGTCCGTCTATCCTAGTGGATAAGGAGAACAAGGTTCGGATGGTGGTTGGTGCTTCTGGAGGAACAAAGATCACCACAGCAACAGCAATGGTAGGTTGTTGGTGGGCTGAGGAGAAGCCAAACAGGTTTAGGAGCAAGGGGAGGACCCTGGGCGGTCCATCGCAGCCACAAGGCCTGCAGCAGAGGAGACCCTGCTGCCCCAGAACTATGGGTGAGAGGAAGAAGAGGCCTAGTCTGGAAGCCAAGGGGATTGAGACATGGGGTGGTGGTGGGGTCATGTCTCTCATTATGTTGCAAGGCATTAGCGATTAAAATCACCTCTTCTTCCAGCTCTTTGGGAGGGCTCTGGGAAGGCTTGATTGCCTTAGGGTAGAGCCAGTGTAATTATGATGTCAGGCTAGGAGTTGGTGAGGTCTCAGTTCCAGCCCCCAGCTGGCCATGAAGTTCTCTGAGTGGCTTGGGGGGCCATTCCCCCTCAAGGGAGAAGGTGGTGCGCCATTTTGAGCTCTTTGGAGTAAAACAAAATGGAGGGTGGGAAAGGAAATAGCCTGGTCGGGGCCATCTTGAAGTGCCTTTGCTGGGCGTGTTGTGGAGGTGGATGAGGGGAGGGTCTCCCACACTCGGAGGGGCCTCACACAGGGCAGAGAGCTGCTTTGAGTCCATATTCTAGGAATGGTTGTGCGTTTGCGTGTCTTCATGCTCTACATGGGGTGCCTTATTTTTCTCCTCATCCAGACCATTCTCCGCTCCCTCTGGTTCGGCTACAACATTAAGGAGGCTGTGGAGGAGCCCCGCATCCATAACCAGCTCTTCCCTTCCTTCACCGTCCTGGAGAATGAGGTGGAGCAGGTCGGTCTGCCTTGAAGAGGGGAAGGGTGGGAATGAAGAACTGAGAACATCAGGTCTGCTCAGGGAGCTGCCTTGGGCCGTTGAGTCCAGCCATTGGCGTTCATCCAGATCAGCACTGTCCACACTGATAGGCAGCACCGGTTTCAGACAGGAGATAGTCTCAGACCTTACCTGGACATGCTGCGACGGCAGATTGAAATTGGAACCTTCTGCATTCAAAGCAGCTGCTCCACCATGAAGCTGCTACGACAGCCCTTGCCTGCCTCTGCTTTCAGGGCTGACCAGATATTGCTCACTTTAAGAAAATTCACAGACTATAGCAGTCTAGTTGCAGGTTTAAGGTAGGAGGTAAAGGTTGCCATTCGACGCCCCAATTCTGTCCTGCCCATTTGCTGGTGTGCATTTGCTCACACCATGCACAGTGAATGAACAGTATAGATCCGGAGGCGGCCACCATCTTAGATGATTCTAGGTCTTTTTGAGAGGCCATGGAACCTCCATAGGCCAAGGCAATCTACCTTTACCAGATGCCCAGGAAGATGGGTGCAGGGGAGGAGGGATTTCACATGCACAAATATACAATTTTACTATGCATCTATATCTATATTGCTGGTTTTATTTTGATACATTTTGTGTCAAAAACGTATTGACAGAAAAGGTATCAAAATAAAATCAGCAATATATATATAGTCTGGTTTTATTGATATTTTAATTAATGTGTTGTTGTGTACTATTATTATTATTATTATTATTATTATTATTATTATTATTATTATCCACTCTTCACTATAAGGTCCTAAAGCAGACAACAGTATTAAAGACAATATTTAAAACAATTTAAAACAACTTGCAACCATAAAAACAAGGAAGGGCCTAAAAACGTACACCTCAAGTGTCAAGAGCTTTATATGTGAACCACTTAGAGGTTTTTGTTGATTAAATATATAAATTATTATCATTATTATTATACAAAATATATTGAATTACATTATAGTTTGTCGAATAAATACCGGTAAATGACGTATGTGCATTGCACAGAAGTCAAAAAGTGCCAGCCCAGCACTGCCTGGCTGGCGCTCTCCAAGGTCCTAAGCAGACCACCCCTCACCCCTGCCCCCCCCACACACACTTGAGACCTTCTTGACTGGAGCTGAGGAAGATCCTCCTGCACACCTAGGATGAGAGTGAGGGCTCTCTGACCACAGAGGCACCTGCTAGCCTTGCATTCCGCAACCTGGTGCCCTTCAGGTGTTCCTGACTACAACTCCCATCATCCCCTGCTGGCCAGCATGGCCTTGTGATTCCGAGTTGTAGTCCAGAACATCTGGAGGTTGCCGTCTTGAGGAAGGCAAGGCTCAGCCACAGAGAGAGCTGCTGGGCGGGGAAGGGGGAGAGGTGTCAAATCAGATTCTGGGTGAGTGTGTTTATCTGCTTTCTGTGTCCAGGAAATAGAAGATGGATTGAAGAAGAGAGGACATGAGATTCAGAGGACCAGCAGGGGAGCTGTGGTCCAGGCCATCCTGCGGACAGAAGAAGGCTGGTCGGCTGCCTCAGACTCTCGGAAGGGGGGAGTCCCTGCAGGATACTAAACTGGCTCCAAGTGTGGATGGATCACGGACATAATTGCAGATCGATCAGTTTCTTCTGGTGACCCACTGAAACAAGTCCACCTGTATTGTGCTGTGGTGGATCACACATCAGCAGCAAATCCCATGCCTCTGAGATGTTTCAGAAACCAGGAAGCAACCTCCAACCATTGATCTATACTGCCCCAGTCATCATGGCATTAGAGGAAATTCATATATTGGTTATGACGAATGGAGAAAGCCACCACGAAAGGGCCTGCTTGCATGAGGATGATGTTCTGAGAATTGCCCTGGTCTGAAATGGTTCACTTGAGGAAATATCTATGAGAGGCAGCGAGGGTTATCTCCTTCCTCCTTCTCATCACCACAATGAAACTCTTTTCTAGCCTGTCAGATATCGTCACCAAATAAATAGGATGGATTTGAGGGTCTTCCTGATTAACTTAGGAGCAAAGGGGCGAAAGGATTGCAATGAGAACAGTCACCTCAGCTACAACATCTCCCATCTTACAAGAGACAGCATTTATACTGGTCTGCCTGAGTTGACTGAGCGGTCGTTGAACAGTGGTGGATTTTGATGTGTCCAGAAACTGAAAGGCATTAACAGAAGTGGAGAGAATCTTCAGCTGCTGGTTCAGGAAGTAAACACTCTGCCAAACATCAGGGTTTTTTTAAAATTAGGGTAATTTAAAAATTTTTAACTGGTTCTCAGGTATAATCTTAGTCCACCACATTTAGTAAAATGTTGTTTTGTTCTTAGTGTTGGACGGTTACAGCTTTCAGACCAAAATGCCTTTATATGTGGATTTTTCCCCAGTGGGAATATCTGGGGATGTTGACAATGCCAAAGGGTTAGATCCTGCCCCCTTGCAAAGTCATCTGGAGGAGGATGACAAGTTGTCTTTGGCCAAACTTCTAACATTAAAAATGAATATTTTACTTGGAATTTTATTTTATTTTATTTTATTTAGTCCCAAGCATCTGTTCTCCTTCTACTGTTCTATAAAAAAATAAGACTGCAGAAACAGCAACAGCTGTTTCATTTGGGAAAACTTAGGCCCATCAAAGCCAAGAGCATTGTGAAGAAGGTTTTGGTTTTTAGAGGGACTGGGACTGTCAACTAGAGAGCTGGAACACTGTGGGCAACTCAGCTGAAAACCATTTTTTGACTTTAATAATGAAGAAGGTTTGTGTAAAGATGGCGAAAGCATTTAAGGTTAGCCGGGTCTCAGTTTAACGCCTGAAGAAAGAATGGCCTCACTACACCTGGGGTGGCTCACAGTTAAACACTGAATGTTTTAGTACGTATTTTGCTGCATCAGAAGGTGTATGCATCAAAGCCAGAAGAAATGGCCTGTGATGCCCCCCTTCCAGTTTGAGAAACGCCCCTCTCTCCATCCTTGTCAGGGACCGTGCGGGCCTGAGGAGGAATCGTGGGAGCCTCTCCCTCCCCCTGCTCCTAATTAGGATCCTGAATCTTCCCAGGAGCAGTGGGATAGTATAGATTTGGAGCAGTGGTTTGCAGAGGGACATAGTTCAGAAGACAGAAGTTGGGAAGAACTGTGAACAGTTAGGAGAGGAAGAACTGGGAGAGAGAAAGTTAACAGACTCAATGTTGCTGGAAAGCGTCCATCCGATCAGCCCAAGGCCAAGGAGGCCAGATAAGGTGGCCGCACATAAGGCACAGTGGTAGCGAGATCAGGTTGCAGGACGCGGAAGTGACATGGATGACCAGGGGAGAAGTGGGTGAAAACCTTAATTGGGAGCACCTTCATTCCGAAGAATAGATGTGTTGTTCTCTCGCTGTGTTCATAAAATCTCTAACTGGTAAGAGATTCCTTTCTCTTTTTTCTGCTTATCTACTGCCAAAGGGGGGCAGGGGAGGGAGCCAAGTCCCTGAAGCCTGACACCTTATCAGGGGCAGTTTCAGAAACAGCAAAATTGAACCCAAGCGAGGAGGGTGCCCTCTCACTCCAGTCCCTCTTGGTCTACAGTAAGTCTGGATGTGAGGGTGGTAAAATTGGGGCAGGGGGCAGGTAAGAGCTTGTGCGAGGAACCCAGAGATTTGGACTGTATATAAAAGGAGACAATTCATTTATTAAAAAATATAGAACTCTGCACGTCAAACTTGCACATAGAAGAAAACACAAATCCTGCACAGCTGTCCTTTTGCTGAATGAAGCTCCTGGCTTGACATCAACAACGCCCTCTGCACACACACTCCTAAACACAAACACAATATGGAGCTGCTGATCTTGCCTGCACTACCTGTTGCATCAAGCAGCTCTCTCTTCACTCGGCGCACTTGTGATCCCACGCAGGGAAAGAGTCTACCAAGTGTCTGCTCTTGGGAGTTTGCTGCCAAAGGGTCAAAGAGGCGTTTTTCATTTTCTGGCTGTGGGCCGATGAGGCAAGCTTCGTCCCCAGCACTTTGCAGCCTCCAGCATCATGAAATCTGCAGGCTGGCTCCTCCTCTGAGGAGCTAGAACCATCGCATTATCCGGGGAAGGGACTCACTGCCTGCCTGCCTCCAGAAAATATCCTCAGGCAGGTCCTTTGCTACCAGCTGCTGCTGCTGCTGCCACAACCCAGATCTTTCACAGAGCGGCAAATGGTTTTCTCTTGTCTGCCACACACTCATGCCACACACTCTTCCCTGCGAGGCTGCCCATCTTCCTTGGATCTCAACGCATAGCTAGGAGAAGGTGCTAGGAGCCAGTGAGAGAGGCGAAGGTCCGTCCTGCACTCTCAGGCTGCAGCAAAAGCAAGGGCTGGTTTTTGGCTCAGTTCTTCCACAGTATAGCATTGCTCTTGTAAACACATCTCACTCTCTGTCTGTCTGTCTCTCTCTCTGAGAAAAAGAAATATGTGATGGAGGGATCCAGCTGCAACAAGTTCATGTTTTTTTCAGACCCAGAAGTGGCTGCAGAGCTGCACTGAGAGAGTGCAGAGGGGCAGGCAGGCAGGCAGACGGGTCCTCCAGGCCCTCTGGCTTCGCCTCAGGCCAAATAGCCGCTGGGCTACTAATAGCCAGAGGCTTGGCCATTTTTCCTTAGATCCGAGTAGGGGAAGAGGCAGGGGCCGTCCTTAGAAACAGCTTGCACCACGTTCAGGCTCCATTGTATCGTCTTCACCGTGTGGCCCTTTTGCTTCAGTGCCGCCTCAACACTCTGCAAAGAAAAGAAGAGGAGGAGGGTAGAGGAAATACAGGCATCACTCTGAACATAGGAAGCTTCCTTAGGCAAAGCCGAATTAGTGGTCTGTCTGTCAGGAGCTCGTCCTACACTCAAGTAGGACCCTGGCAGAGACACATGCCCGACTGGCATGTTCTCTCCCTCCTGGTCGATCTTTTGGGAGCTTCAAAAGCTTTCTTCAGCCCGAACATCATAGCGACCGATGCCAACAGACACCAGCACACTTAGGGATCTGCAGAGTCTTCGCAGCTTGCGTGACAGACCTAAGCAACTCAGCATTTTGGCTAATCTACTTTATTTATATAAACACACATGGAGCACTGCAACATGACTCCCTCTCTCTCTAGCATCAGACAGCAAAGAGATAGAGCAAAGGACAATAGCCCCGCTTCACGGAACACAGTAACACAAACATCCACAAACAGTAACACAAACATTTTGGTTTGGGGTTGGATATTGAGTGGGGTGGAGATTTATTTTGTTGGTACAATTGTTTTTGGTCTGATCTGTTTTTCTATTTTGTAAATGGAGGTTGGTTTGAGGCTTGGGATTGCTACCGTAGTGGGGCGAGAGAGGTATGGCGGTGGGGGCAGATGTCATAGGCGAAGGGGATCGAGATACGGATATGCTCGTACCCCTTCCAATCTGCGCCCCATCCCGAGGGACGAAGGTAGGGTGAGCAAGGATTACTCACCTCCGTCACTGGTGTTGTGCAATGCCAGGTCTATAGGCAACAAAACCGCCACCCTGCGAGACTTCTTCACCTCGCACGGGGTTGACCTGGCTTGTGTGACGGAGACCTGGGTGCGCGAAGGGGAAACTGTTACCTTACGAGAGATGGCGCCCCCGGGTTTCTCCGTCCTCCACCAGTCGCGGACTGTGGGCTGGGGGGAGGGGTGGCATTATTAATCCGAGAAGAATGTTCTTTCAGGGCTCTACCATCGCCATCGATCCCCGGCATTGAATGTGTTGGCCTAGTGTGGGGCTCCGAGGTGAGCTTGGCTGTCTGGCTGGTGTACCGGCCACCTAGTGCACCAGCAGCCACCCTGTCAGGCCTGCTGGAGGCGGTGGCCGGCTGGGCCTTGGAGTTCCCTAACCTATTGGTATTGGGGGACTTCAACATCCATGCTGATGCCACTCCCTCCTCACAGGCTCTGGACCTGGTGTCTTCCATGGCGACACTAGGGCTCTCCCAGTTTGTTTCAGGCCGCACACATCAAGCAGGCCACATGCTGGATTTGATCTTTGGCGCCGGTATAGATGTGATCATGTCTCCTTCGATGAAGGTGCCATGGTCTGATCACTACGCACTGAAAGCCAGGATTGATTTTCCACCCCCACCCTGCTTAGGTGGCGAGCCAATTTGGGCTCGCCCGCAGAGGCTGATGGACCCTGATAGATTCCGTCAGGCCTTGCGGGACCTTGCTCCCCCTGGCGACTCATTGACTGAGCTTGTTGAGGGCTGGAATATCCAGCTCCTCGCAGCCATCGATGAGATCGCACCTAAGCGCCCTCTGCGACCCCACAGAAACCGGGCTCCCTGGTTTACCGAGGAGCTTCGGAAAATGAAGCGGGACCTCAGACGGCTAGAGCGAGTATGGCGGGGTGCCCGTGATGGAGCCTCAAGAACATCTTATAGGGTTTTTATGAAAACCTACGAGATGGCAGTGAAGGCCGCTAAGAAGTCCTACTTCTTGGCCTCCATTGCCTCTGCTAGCTCTCGCCCGGCGCAATTATTTAGTATAATTAGGTCTTTAACGTCCCTTGAAGGACAGCCAAATTTAAATAACAATTCGACACACAGCTGTGAGGCATTTGCGAGCTTTTTTGCGGAGAAGGTCCTGTTGCTCCGCCATGACCTCCCTGCCAATTTGGATACAATAAAGGAATTGGAGGCCCCTCGACTGTCCTCGGGTCCAGTATTGGACCACTTTGACCGGATATCTCCAGCCGATGTGGACAGACTCCTCCAAGCTGGAAAGCCCACCACCTCCTGTCCTCTTGACCCATGCCCCCCTGGGTGATATCATCAATTTGTCCCTTGGCACCGGGATATTCCCAGGGGAACTGAAGGAGGCAGTGGTGCGCCCGCTCTTAAAGAAAACATCATTGGATCCTTTAGATCTATCCAATTACCGCCCGGTTTCGAATCTTCCATTCCTGGGTAAGGTGATTGAGAGAGCGGTTGCTGAACAGCTTGGTAGGTTTCTGGATGAAACATCGGCTCTCGATCCATTCCAGTCCGGCTTCCGCGCTGGTCATGGGACCGAGACGGCTCTGGTCGCCCTAACAGATGATCTCCGCAGGCAGCTGGATCGAGGCGGGTTGGGGCTGCTGATTCTTCTAGACCTGTCAGCAGCCTTCGACATGGTCGATCACGAACTCCTGGACCACCGCCTTGCCGACGTGGGGATCCAGGGCACAGTCCTTCAATGGCTGCGCTCGTTTCTCTCTGGTCGGGGACAGAGGGTGGCGCTTGGGGGGAATTGTCATCGCGCCACTCCTTGGTGTGTGGAGTGCCTCAGGGTGCGATTCTCTCCCCGATGCTTTTTAACATCTTTATGCGCCCCCTCGCCCAGCTTGTCCGGAGTTTTGGGCTGGGTTGCCATCAGTATGCCGATGACACCCAACTCTATCTGTTGATGGATGGCCATCCTGACTCGGCCCCAGATACACTGACCAGATGTCTGGAGGCTGTGGCTGGATGGTTACGTGGGAGCCGGTTGAAGTTAAATCCTTCGAAGACAGAGGTCCTCTGGCTGGGACGGAGCGATATGGGATTGAGGGGGCAACTCCCATCTCTTGCGGGGGTGCAATTAGTGCCAGCATCGTCCGTTAAGAGTTTGGGTGTAATCTTCGATACCTCCCTCTCTATGGAGGCACAGATTACAGCTATAACAAAGGCGGCATTTTTTCATCTCCGCCAAGCTAAGCAGTTGGCTCCTTATCTCTCTCGCCCTGACCTAGCCACTGTGATCCACGCGACGGTCACCTCCAGACTGGATTATTGTAACTCGCTCTACGTGGGGCTGCCCTTGAGACTGACCCAGAAACTCCAGCGGGTGCAGAATGCCGTGGCAAGACTCCTTATGGGGTCCTTGCTGCGAGATCATATTCATCCGGTACTATATCAGCTGCACTGGCTCCCGGTGGAGTACAGGATCAGGTTTAAGGTGCTGGTTTTAACCTTTAAAGCCCTATACGGCCTAGGACCCTCGTACCTATGGGACCGCCTCTCCTGGTATGCCCCCCAGAGAAATTTACGGTCTGCAAATAAAAACATCCTGAAGATCCCAGGCCACAGAGAGGTTAGGCTGGCCTCAACTAGAGCCAGGGCTTTCTCGGCCGCAGCTCCAATCTGGTGGAACGCTCTGTCACAAGAAACTAGGGCCCTGCGGGCCCTGACATCTTTCCGCAGGGCCTGCAAGACAGAGCTGTTCCACCAGGCCTTTGATCAGGGCGCAGCCTGACCCCCTCCTCTGGCAATCTGCACAGAATTTTGCTTGATGGTTGCCATTAATTTGATTTTAATTTGATTTTAATTAATTTTATAATGAATGTTTTTAGAATGTTGGACTATTTTGATTGTTGTTAGCCGCCCTGAGCCCAGCTTCGGCTGGGGAGGGCGGGATATAAATAAAATTTATTATTATTATTATTATCCTGTCTCTGTCACTTCCCACTCTGTGGAGTCAAAACATATACCGTTATGTGATAGACAAAAATCCCATGACTGCAATCATGGAGCAGGAATTCTAACACCGTCTAGCTCAGTATTGTTGCTGCCAACTCGCAGCAGTGACTCTCCCAAGATTTCATGCCCAGGGGCCATTCCCAACCTTTCCTGGAGATGCTGCCGCCAGGGATTGACCATGGGATCTGTACAGCAGGCTCCCCCAGGAACTAGAACTCCCATCAGCCCCAGCCAGACTGGTCATATGACACAGGAGGTGATGAGAGTCCAGTTGTGCTTGCTGGGGCTGATGGGAGTTGTAGTCCGCAGCGCAGAGCTAAAAACTGACACAGGGCTTTCGCTTTATGTTTTGCACGCTGAAGGACTTGTGGCAATCACTGACATACCCCTCAACTGTCCCGATATAATAGGGATGCCCCATTTTTTTGGGGGGGGACATGTTCTCTTGTGAGATCACAGCCCCCAGAGACCTGTGTGCCAGTTTTCTTCTGGGACATGTTGGAGGTACGCCTCTGTCTCATGGCTCCCCTTGAGGCCCCAGAGAGCTGCTCACACGTCTCACCTTGTCAAAGGATTTCTCTACTTCGATGCCGTAGCTGCTGTCCACGCAGAGAATCGGTGCCTTGATAGCTTTGTCCACATCATACCCAAAAAACAGCTTGTTAGCGATGGTCTGCAAGAGAAGGAGCAGCCTGGCTTTAGACATGTTCATGGAAGAGAAGTCTCGCAGCAGGCAGACAGTGTGGTGTAGTGGTGTAGTTATCTCCCACTTGGACTACTGCAACGCGCTCTACGTGGGACTACCTTTGAAGGTGACCCGGAACTGCAATTAATCCAGAATGCAGCAGCTAGACTGGTGACTGGGAGTGGCCGCCGGGACCACATAACACCGGTTCTGAGAGATCTACATTGGCTCCCAGTACGTTTCCGAGCACAATTCAAAGTGTTGGTGCTGATCTTTAAAGCCCTAAACGGCCTCGGTCCAGTATACCTGAAGGAGCGTCTCCACCCCCATCGTTCAGCCCGGACACTGAAATCCAGCGCCGAGGGCCTTCTGGCGGTTCCCTCATTGCGAGAAGTGAGGTTACAGGGAACCAGACAGAGGGCCTTCTCGGTAGTGGCGCCCGCCCTGTGGAACACCCTCCCTTCAGATGTGAAGGAAATAAGTAGCTATGCTATCTTTAAAAGACATCTGAAGGCGGCCCTGTTCAGGGAAGTTTTTAATATTCAACGCTGTATTGTTTTTAATACTTGATTGGGAGCCGCCCAGAGTGGCTTGGGAAACAGCCAGATGGGTGAGGTATAAATAATAAATAATAAATTATTATTATTATTATTATTATTATTATTATTATTATTATTAAAGTGTGGCACCAGCACCTGGGAGAGACCAGGTTTCAAATCCCGACTCGGCCATGAAGCTCACTAGGGTGACCTTGGGACAGTAACTGCCCCTCTCAGCCCCTCCTACCTCACTGGGTTGTTGTGAGGATAAAATGGCGGGGGTGGGAGGTGAACCATATATGCCACCTTCAGCTCCTTGGAGAAAAGGGTGTGTTATAAATGCAATAAACAAATAAGTGAACAAATAAATAGCAACAGATGCTGACCACGAGAGTTCAATCAAGCCTCCAAGTCCAGAGGCAGTCTACCTTTTCAAAACAAAACTTAAGCCATTTTCCCCAGGACAAATCAGAAAGCAAAAGGACCTATTTCACAGGTGTTAACTGTACAGCTTCAGCTCTCCATGCTAAAGCCAGGAATCCAGTGTTTTTGTCAACTTACCAGGGCGACAGCAGGGATAATGAGTTGCCCGCCTGACCCTCCGACCACCAGCTTCGACTGCCCATCGCGGGAAATGAGGATGGATGGTGTCATGGAAGAAGGGGGCATCTCTCCTATAGGTGGGGGCACCAAGGAATGGGAGGGTGAGCAACCTATACAGTCACTTTTAAAACGGAGAGGAAAAACCTCACCTTGTGCATTTGTATATTATTTTCTCTCTCTCTCTCTCTCTCTCTCTCTCTCTCTCTAAATTTTATTTATGCTTTTCAGATATATACATTTCACTGATTTTACAATCATTTTAACATTCCAAAACTTGACTTCCTTCCCCCCCTTTCTGCAGTTCCTTAAATTTATTTTTAATATCTTCTGCATATCCAAATTAAGTTAACTTATTTATTTATCTTCTTTAAATATACAGTGGTACCTCAGGTTACATACGCTTCAGGTTACAGACTCCGCTAACCCAGAAATAGTACCTCAGGTTAAGAACTTCGCTTCAGGATGAGAACAGAAATTGTGCTCCGGCGGCGTGGCAGTAGCAGGAGGCCCCATTAGCTAAAGTGGTGCTTCAGGTTAAGAACAGTTTCGGGTTAAGATCGGACCTCCGGAACGAATTAAGTACTTAACCTGAGGTACCACTGTATACTCTTACGTAACGGCAGGTTATTACAATAACCCTGCCAGTGTTTTTATCTGTTTACAATTTATCTGTAAATATTCAACAAACCATTTCCATTCTTTTATTTTAAAAAGTTTGCTATCTTGATTTATTATTCTCCTGGTAAGTTTCACCATTTCTGCATATTCCATAAGTTTTTGTATCCATTCTTCCTTTGCTGGGACTTCTTCTTCTTTCCATTTTTGGGCAAGTAGCAAGTAGCATACATGAATAAATTTCTATACAATTTAGGTAGTTCTGTCCCTATAATTCTCAATAATTATTTTTCTCTCTCTCTCCTTATTGTTGGAGAGAAATCTTTGCGCCTTTAGGTTAATGACCCGAAAGAAGACCCACAGACAATTTGATCTCCTTTTTCTTCGGGGTGTGGATGAGGTGTCCTGGAATCCAATCAACCCCCATTGGGACTCTTCTATCATCCATTCATCTATCCATCCATCCATCCATCCATCCTGCAATTAATCCAGAATGCGGCAGCTAGACTCATGACTGGGAGTGGCCGCCAGGACCACATAACACCTGTTCTGAGAGATCTGTATTGGCTCCCAGTACGTTTCCGAGCACAATTTAAAGTGTTGGTGCTGACTTTTAAAGTCCTAAACGGCCTCAGTCCTGTATACCTAAAGGAGCGTCGCCACCCCCTTTGTTCAGCCCAGACACCGAGATCCAGCGCCGAGGGCCTTCTGGCAGTTCCCTTATTGTGAGAAGTGAGGTTACAGGGAACCAGACAGAGGGCCTTCTTGGTAGTGGCGCCCGCCCTGTGGAACGCCCTCCTTTCAGATGTGAAGGAAATAAGCAGCTATCCTATTTTTAAAAGACATCTGAAGGCAGTCCTGTTTAGTGAAGTGTTTATTATTTAATGCTGTATTGTTTTTAACACTCGATTGGGAGCCACCCAGAGTGGCTGGGGAAACTCAGCCAGATGGGCGGGGTATAAATAATAAATTATTATTATTATTATTATTATTATTATTATTATTATTATTATTATTATTATTATTATTATTATCCATGCATTCCCTCCTGCCCAGCATTTGTGCTTGCGATGGGCTTTCCCAGCAGAGGTGGAGCTCACCTGGCGAGATCCTGTCACTTGACTTCTTCATGCAAAAGTCAGAGAGTTCATTGTTTAAGATGATCCCCGTCTGTGGCGAATACACCATGGAGCCAAACCTGAGCATGGGGAGAGAAGAGGGACACAGTTCTCAGTGGCAAGAAAAATTGATGAGTTATGCAGAACTGGCTAAATTGACATACAAACTGCGGGACAACTGTGACTTTAAGGAAGAACGGGAGCCTTTTACAAATTATCTAAAAAGACAACAAAATGAACTGGACTCCTTGGCAGATTTTGAATAAACATACACAAATTTATTGGTTGATAACATGACAGATAGATATAATTTTATAACATGCAGAGAACAATATGTGCTGAGAAATCAGAGAGAGGAGCTGAGGGAAGTTGGGGGGGGGGGTGGAGGGTTTGAAACATAACTGTCAACTTTTCCCTTTTCTTGTGAGGAATCCTATTTGGAATAAAGGAATTTCCCTTAAGAAAAGGGTAACGTTGACAGCTATGGTTTGAAGGGGGGAGGGAAAAAATAATAATGAATATGATATGTTTTGATAGTTTGTATGTTGAAATTGTTAATAAAAATATTTTCTTATCCTTCGGTAAGAATTAAAACAGGAAGATTGCCAGACCTCTGTCCCTGCAAGAGGGCCAGGAACCATGGAGAAGGCATCCCGCTCTCTGCCTCCCACAGCCCAGCAGTTGGAACGGTGCCTTATTTTGAGTCAGACCATTGGTCCATCTAACTCCATATCCCCAACACTGACCGGCAGCAATGGTTATTCAGCATTCCAGACAGGGGGTCTCTCCCCAGCCCTGCCTGGAAATATGGCTGGGGATTGGATCTCGGGGCCTTTCTGTGCAAATGCTCTGCCGCTGAGCTATGGCCCTTCCCCTAAAATTAAAACAAGATTCTAGTCCTCAGGGCACACGGAGAGCTTGGCTGAAGGAACAAGCCAAAGGACCCATCTAGTCCAGCATGGGCATAAGCAGGGGGGGGGGCGCTGCCCCCTATATCAATCAAAATCAATACAAATTTAAGGTTCTGCCCCCTTAAAAAATCCTGCCCCCCCAAAAAGAATCCTGGCTACGCTCATGTAGTCTAGCATCTTCTTCTTACAGTGGCCAACCCAGGTGGCTCTGAATTAAGGTCTGATTTAAATAGGAAGCACAGAGTCAAACCGTTGGTCCATGTAGCTCCATGTTTTCTGCACAGACTGGCAGCAATGGATCTCCAGAGTTTCAGACGGGGAAACTCCCAGCGCATGAAATTATTGCAATAAAGGGGGCTGCCTGGAGGCCCTGCTTTGGCATAGCTGCCAACTTACAGATTTGAAAATAAGGGACCAGCAGCCTCAAAAATAAGGGATCAGCAGCCAAAATAAGAGATTTTCGGAGCACAGGTATGTTCAACCTCTGAGCCCCTCTGAGCCAAAGGCAGAAAGCCCAGCCAGCAGCCAAACAAAGCCTCAAGCGGTGGTTCCCACAGCGCAGCAACCCAGCAAAGGGGATGCAGCAAGGAAAACCACCGTCACCTCTCCGCTGGGAAGTGCTGAGCAAAGGCGAGTCCCCAGGCAATGCGGCCAATTTGATCGGCACAAGGCATGCAAGCTCCACCCCCCCAGTCATTCTTAGACTCCTTATTGGGTGAGCAACGCAGCCAAGCAACACAGTTGGAGCCTCCCTCCTCCCTGGCCGGCAGGGAGGGAGGGAGAGGAGCTGCTTCCTTTGAAACCCGGGAAATTTAAGGGACATCTATAAGGGACAGCAGCGGGACACGGCGCTGGGATAAGGGACTTTCCCGCCAAATAAGGGACGGTTGCCAGCTATGTGCTTTGGGAGAAAGCACAGAAGAAGCTTCTGTCCCACCTTTGCCCTTGGGGCTCATCTGCTCCTACTTACGGGTAGTTAATGGTGCTGGTGGCTGACACGGCACTCCCATCTTCAGCCAGGACGGAAACGTGGGAGGTGCCAAATGAGGTCTTTCCCACCTGGACAGCGTCGTAGTGGGATGCTGGGTGGTCTCCCCGCTCATCGATCCGCTGCCTGACTTGGCTAGCAAAGGAGTCCGAGATCAGCTCACTCAAGACACCCTAAAAAACAGAGCGCATCTCAGTGAGGCAGGTCCCGATAACCTCATCCGCAATTAGGAATGGTGCCCTCTGGAAAAGTCAAAGCTGGGCTCAGTGGGATAGGGAATGTAAACTGCAGGACGCAGTGGCGTAGCGTGGGGGGGTGCAGGGGGTGCCGGCCGCACCGGGCGCAACATCTGGGGTTAGGGCAAATCCATGGGTTAGGGGGCGCAAATCCACAGGTTAGGGGGCGCAAATCCATGGGTTAGGGGGCGCAAATTACTTGCCTTGCCCCGGGTGCTGACAACCCACGCTACGCCACTGGCAGGACGCAATGTCTTCCAGTGCTTATCTTCAGCTGCAGAGGGCAACTATTTACCTGTCTCGCCCGCTGGCTCCCAAACTTTTCAACCCATTGCTCCCCATCTTACATAAACTCATCTCCAGCACCCTATGCCAGGGGTCAGCAAACTTTATCAGCAGGGGGCCAGTCCACTGTCCCTCAGACCTTGTGGGGGGCTGGACTATATTTTTGGAAAAAAATATGAACAAATTCCTATGCCCCACAAATAACCCAGAGAGGCATTTTAAATAAAAGGACACATTCTACTCATGTAAAAACACCAGGCAGGCCCCACAAATAACCCAGAGAGTTAAAGATCTGACTGGGACAAACCTTGTTATGCTGAGCTCGTATTTTGCACAATTTGTATACGGTGTTTGTTTGATAATGTGTGGTTTGCTATACCTAATAAAGGATTAACTTATTAATAACCCAGAGGTGCATGTTGAATAAAAGGACGCATTCTACTCATGTAAAAACATGCTGATTCCCGGACTGTCCATGGGCCGGATTTAGAAGGCGGCTGGGCAGGATTTGGCCCCCGGGCCCTATGCCCTAAACCATAGGCTTTCAACCTTTTTGAGTCCACGGATCCCTTGACCAACTACATTCTTTCTGCGGCACCCCTGTGGGGCTCAGGAGCCCAGTGATGTTACCCTTGCCTGCAGAGCTGGCAGCCCCTCACCTGTTTTCGAACACCCTCCCTTGTGGAGTTTCCCTTAGCCTCCTCTCCCCTCTCCATGGGAGTCCTGCTGGTAGCTACGGCTGCAACAAACAGCTGTGCAAGCCTTTGGGAGGCAGAGATGTGATAGGGCAGGGCTGTCCAACAGGCAGATCGCGATCTAAAGGTTGATTGTGGGGTGTGCCTGACTGATAATAATAATAAAGCTCAACAACTCTTGCTCCCTAAAAAAGCTCACCAACTTTTGTCAATCCAATGGGTAGATCACTGCCAGTTTATTTATAGTGTGAGTAGATCACAGTTAAAGCTATGGTTTTGCCAGTAGTGATGTATGGAATTGAGAGCTTTCATAAAGAAGGCTGATCACCGAAGAATTGATGCTTTGAATTATGGTGCTAGAGGAGACTCTTGAGAGTCCCATGGACTGCAAGAAGATCAAACCGATCCATTCTAAAGGAAATCAGCCCTGAGTGCTCCCTGGAAGGACAGATCCTGAAGCTGAGGCTCCAATACTTTGGCCACCTCATGAGAAGAGAAGACTCCCTGGAAAAGACCCTGATGTTGGGAAAGATGGAGGGCACAAGGAGAAGGTGACGACAGAGGACGAGATGGTTGGACAGTGTTCACGAAGCTACCAGCATGAGTTTGACCAAACTGCGGGAGGCAGTGAAAGACAGGAGTGCCTGGTGTGCTCTGGTCCAGGGGGTCACGAAGAGTCAGACATGATTAAACGACTAAACAACAACAAGATCACAATCTCTTGGAAATTGGACACCCCTGTGATAGGGCATCAGAGGAAGGAGGGAAGGAGAGAGCAACAGAGGCCAGTGTTGCCCGTGGCACCCCTGACCATCATTCAAGGCACCCCAGGGTGCTATGACACTCTGGTTGAAAACCTATAAAAAGCATTATTCAGGATAGCGGCTTGCATGACCCACTAAGGAAGGTGAACTTCTTAACAGGAACAGTTAATTGCACATTAGTTCAAAATCCAGTTAAAACTAATTAATTTGTTCAACAAAACTGATTAACTTGATCCACTGATATCAGCTTTTCAAAATCTGATAGTCATTTACACCTCCAGCACCCCACTGCCACCCCCTTCCCTCTTAGCCCCCCCCCCAGGTAATCCCACTGCCCCACCCAAGGGATGCTACCATCCACATTGGGACCCAACTGGTCTGACCAAAAGCATCCTCACCCTGTTTGGAAACAAGTGTAAGCCCTGAAAGTAAAAAAAAAAAAAAATCTTAAATTGCTGTCACTTGGCTATTCCATCAGATTGTGAAATTGAATTGCTGATAGGGAAAATGTCTTGATTCTATTATTTTATACACACACACACTGCTTGATTGTAAAAACCAACCAACCAACCAACCAACCAACCCAAAGCAGTTTACAAAAAGATAAAACCATAAAATCAAGGAACATACAAAAGTTAAAATGCTGAAACAGGTTAACATTACCTCAACTTTCCAAGCCTCTGGGTAGGCTCACCTGAACAAGAACGTTGTTAGGTAAAGGTAAAGGTAAAGGGACCCCTGACAATTAGGTCCAGTCATGGCCGACTCTGGGGTTGCGGCACTCATCTGGCTTTATTGGCCGAGGGAGCCGGCATACAGCTTCCAGGTCATGTGGCCAGCATGACTTAGCTGCTTCTGGAGAACCAGAGCAGCGCACGGAAACGCCGTTTACCTTCCTGCTGGAGTGTTACCTATTTATCTACTTGCACTTTGATGTGCTTTCGAACTGCTAGGTTGGCAGGAGCTGGAACCGAACAATGGGAGCTCACCCCGTCACGGAGATTCGAACCGCCGACCTTCTGATCGGCAAGTCCTAGGCTCTGTGGTTTAACCCACAGCATCACCCGCATCCCAAGAACATTGTTGGCAGGTGCCAGAAAGAGTACAGTGAAGGCACCTGCTTGATCTCAATTTTATAATAACTAGAATATTTGGTCTTCATGATGACAGAATGCTGAGGCGTCAGCTGCCTGCACAGCTCTGCAATTATGAGCAAAGAAGAGAGTTCCCCCTCTTGTCTTCTCTCCACAGCGGCTGCCCCTCAACTCTGTCCAAATTTGCAAAACTCCCTCCCCTTGCGGTCCAGATGTCACGGCTAAAATGGCCGCTGTTTCTTTAATGCGAATATGGCTGGGTCAACATGACTCAGCGGCCTGCAGCAGGTTGTATATATAAGTGAGAAATGTTAGTTTGTGCTGAGGCTGGTGTTTGGGTTGGTTGGTTGATTGGTGCTGGTGTGTATAGTTGTTCAGTCGTGTTTTGCACAAAGACTTTTAAGAATAAAACTCTGCAAGGATATTCTCGTGGACTCTTTTGTGCCGACAAGGGTGCGAGGACCAGGCTGAGGAGACAAAGGGAGGTCAGAACCCTTTCCTTCTTTTTTCTTTCTTTTTTTTTTTTTGCTTTTTACAAACACTGATACCAGACAAAACCAAAGCCCCAAACCTTGTCTTTTGGAAGCATCAAGACACTCATTTATCCATGCTAAATGAGGGTGGCATGAAGCTCCAGAGTTCCTTACATTCTTATCCAGTGCTTTGTTCTAGAAGAAAGATGTGCCAGGACACACCACGAACTCTTTCCTTGTTCTCTTACAATGGCAATGGAGCCCACCTGAGAGGTGTCGTAACTGAGTTCCGGTAAATTCCAGCTGAAAAATATCCCTGTTCTTATCTGATTCCTTTCAGACTACAACCCTCATCAACCATCAGCAGATGGGAGTTTTAGTCCAAAACATCTGGGGGCACCAGGTTGACCAAGGCTGCTCTAGATGTACATATATATATATTAATGATTATCTGGAACCATTGGAAGGGGGGCACTATAGATTCACACCCCCCAAAAAAATAAGGCAACAAAGCTTTTAAAAAGGATGAAGACCGACAGGCTCCCAGATCACCCACCTCTCCAGTTCGGGAAAAAAGTGGGTCGTCCAGTTTTACTCTCTGGCCGTTGGCAAACTTCAGAGTTTCTGCGATATAGTGGTAAGTCTCAGCATTCTGGCTAGGTGTGCTCATGGACTCTTTGGTGAAGTTGAAACCTGGAAGACAGGAATATAATAATAATAATAATAATAATAATAATAATAATAATAATAATAATAATATCTTTATTGTCATTGCCCCCTCTCGGGGACAATGAAATTACTTGGCTGCTCCATCCACCCAGGTAGGACACTCCACACAAAATCAAAACAACTATAAAAACACTAATTAAAACAATACAGTATAATACAGCAAGGAAGATTAGATGACTTTCAAAGTCCAGGCTTTCCATTCAGGGCCGAGATCGCTCTGGAGAAGAAGCTGCTCTTAAGACGGCTCGTTCTTGTCTTCATCGTCCTGTATCTCCGTCCTGACGGCAGGAGCTCGAAGAGACAGTGACCAGGATGCGATGGATCTTTTACTATGTCCAGTGCCTTCCTATGGCACCTTGTGGCATAAATCTGCTCTAAGGTGGAGAGTGGGCAGCCAACAATGCTCTCTGCTGCCTTAACAACTCTGCACAACCCCATCCTGTCCTGGGTAGTACAGCTTCCGTACCACACACATAAGCCATAAGTGAGCACGCTCTCAAGAGCTAGCTGTGAGCACCCAGGCCTAAGGAAGAGCAGAAAGGACTCTGCGGCGCTCTTCTGAGACCCAGGGAATGACCCTCGGCTGTGTTAGAAACTCAGATAGGCACCAAATGGCTCCTTAAACCAAGGCTACAATTGCCAAAACAGAATGTCTACTTGCCATTTTGGGGCAAGTCTTATTTTTTCAAAGGAATGAGTGACTGTGATTGTCTTACATATTCAGTGGTCTGTGTTTGCCTGAGCTTGAGTCTGGACTAGGGATTCTGAGCTCCTGTGTTCCGATTCGATACACAGAACATTTCAGGATTTGGGCCTCTGCCATTGGCCCTTGAACTCTGAGTCGTGATTCGCAGTTTGGAAGTTTAGACAAACAATCACGTTGGGAGTGGGAGTGGCCCAGGCTTTCAGAAATGTTATATAAGCAGTTGCTTTGCCTCTGTTTCCCAGTTACGTTGTTCAACAAAGGTTTTTGCTGTTATCACTGTGTCTTGCCTCGTAGGAACCCACCTACACTTCACATTGATTCTTGGTTAAACGTCTGGCTAGTTCAGGTGACAACTTTGAGCCAGGTTAAGAGCTCTTGAGAACTTAAAGAAGAAAAGGCACTTGGTCCAGGGAACAGTCCACATATCTATTGGCCTATTCCGACCTCTTTTTCTTAATGGTGACACAGACCATTCATAACAAGATTCTTCACACAGCCGTGGGGGTCATAGCTGTCAACTTACAGATTTGAAAACAAGGGACCAGCATCCTCAAAAATAAGGGACCAGCATCCTCAAAAATAAGGGACCAGCAGCCAAAATAAGGGATTTTCGGAGCGCAGGTATGTTCGACTTCTGAGCCCCTCTGAGCCAAAGGCAGAAAGCCCAGCCAGCAGCCAAACAAAGCCTCAAGCGGTGGTTCCCACAGCGCAGCAACCCAGCAAAGGGGATGCAGCAAGGAAAAGCACCGTCACCTCTCCGCTGGGAAGCGCTGAGCAAAGGCGAGTCTCCAGGCAACGCGGCCGATTTGATCAGCACAAGGCATGCAAGCTCCACCCCTCAGTCATTCTTAGACTCCTTATTGGGTGAGCAACACAGCCAAGCAACACAGTTGGAGCCTCCCTCCTCCCTGGCCAGCAGGGAGGGAGGGAGGGAGAGGAGCTGCTTCCTTTGAAACCCAGGAAATTTAAGGGACATTATCAATAAGGGACAGCAGCAGGACACAGCGCTGAGATAAGGGACTTTCCCATCAAATAAGGGACGGTTGCCAGCTATGGTGGGGGTTGGGGTAAGTGAAGACAAGTTACGACGAGCAAATATAATGTCATTCACTGCTCAGGCTGCACAGAAAAGGCATTTTGGTTCCTGAAATTCAGATTGTGAAGATAAAGTATAACTGATGGATCATTGCCCAAGGCTAAAGGAGGTTGAAAGGGCATCAGATTGAAGCTACTGAAGGAAGTGGCCCTCTTCTCCTGGTCTGCAGTGTTTGGGGGGGGGGTCTCTGCCACTCTCCCCTTCTCCACCCACACAGCAGCACCGCAGAGCCAGAATCTCCCCATCCCTGATATGCAGTGAACCAAATGGACCCCTCATTTACCTTTGAGGACATTGAGGATAAATAGGAGAATGGGCCCCGCTGCAGGACGCGGGGCAGAGTACACAGTATATTCACCCAGGGAGATGTTCACAGGGCTCATCACTTCTACTCGGTAATCCCTGAGGTCTCTCAGGGACAAGGTGCTGCCTGGAAAACAAGAGGAAGATGCGTCAGGCCTTATCTGAGCTGCAGCAGGGGCAGAAAATAGCTCAAATCCTGAGCGCAAATGAGAGGAACTGCTTGCAGGAAGTCTCAGTGACCCCTGACGCTAAGGAGGGAATGTGGTTCCTTCTCAAGGAGTGGGGAGGGGGGGCTTACACACCAAAGGGAGCTGGGACTCCTTCCCTGACAGCTGCCATCCCAGGAGAGGAAGGGGACAATGGAAGGAAGGAGTGGGGAGGGGGAAACAGCCTACAAGTGTCACTTGCAAGAGCGAGGCGGCAAAGCGAGGGCTGGGACGGATCTGGAAAAGGGAACGGGGTGCCAAATTCTGATTAGACTGCTACGGAATCAGTAATGTTTTCCAAGGTATTGGAAAATCTGCTTGCACCCTTCTCAGCAGGGCAGACAAAGGAAAGCAAAAACCAGAGTCCTTTCTGTCGGGGATAATTCAGACTGAAATTCCCAGGTGTCAATTAAAGGTTATTTATGTATGCGACCACTGCGGCCCCCAAACGGAAAACGAGCAAGGTCCCAACTGAAGAAATGGTTTGTTGAATATTTACAAATAAACTGTAAACAGATAAGAATACTGGCAGAATTACTGTAATAACCTGCAGTTTTATAAAAGTATCTATATATTTAAAGTAGTTGAATAAATGAGCAAATTAAGTTACTTTGGATATGCAGAAGATTTTAAAAATATATTTAATGAACCGCAGAAAGAGGGGGAAGGAGGTCGAGTTTTGAAATGTTAAAATGATTATAAAATTATTGAAATGTATAAAACTGAAAATCATAAATAAAATAATAACAATAGCAATAATAATAATAATAATAATAATAATAATAATAATAATAATAAATAAATAAATAAATAAATAAATAAAAAGACTGGTCACCTTCTTTCGCTATGTCCTGCACCAACTTCTCTGCTGTGGTTCCCCGATAAAACTCATTGGCTCCTTTTTCTGCCACAGCCCTCAGGGTCTCCACCAGGGCTGGCCATCGAAGGAGGTCTCCACCTCCCAGGGCGGCCCCCTGCTTGTTGTAAAAGAGTTTTCTGGAAGAGAGAGTGACCACCATCAGTTCCTGACCCTGGATTCTAAGAGCAGAGGCTGCAGCAGGAATGGCTCCTAAGACCCAAATATAACCAGCTGTGAAGGGGGGGTGCTCCATAGCCCTTCCCCAAAGCCTTAAGCCTGGGCAATTTAACTTCCAATTTAGCTTTCTTGCCCTGCCAATTTCCTGACCACCATCTCAAAGGCCACATTTGTACTGTTCTACACTGCAGGGGTCCTAAGGATGCGGGTGGCACTGTGGGTTAAACCACAGAGCCTAGGACTTGCTGATCACAAGGTTGGCGGTTTGAATCCCCACGACGGGGTGAGCTCCCGTTGCCCGATCCCAGCTCCTGCCAACCTAGCAGTTCGAAAGCACGTCAAAGTGCAAGTAGATAAATAGGTGCCACTCCAGCGGGAAGGTAAACGGCGTTTCCGTGTGCTGCTCTGGTTCGCCAGAAGTGGCTTAGTCATGCTGGCCACATGACCCGGAAGCTGTATGCCGGCTCCCACGGCCAATAAAGCGAGATGAGCGTCACAACCCCAGAGTCGGCCATGACTGGACCTAATGGTCAGGGGTCCCTTTACCTTTACCTTACACTGCAGGGGTATCCATGCAGATTGTCAGTCTCAATGCAACTTGCATATTCAGTTCAGTAGGGCACTAGGACTAACTTTTGATGGTCTCTCTCTCTCTCTCTCTCTCTCTCTCTCTCTCTCTCTCTTTCTCTCTCTCCCCCTCCCTCTCCCTCTTCCTGGTCTAACATGAGGTGTGTTTCGAAGGGCACAGAGGCTGCTAGAGTCACCCTCAGCATTGGCTTCCCCCACTGCCTGCCCTCCACCACAACACCCAAAACTTTTGCCAAGGCCTCTCCTGGGGCCTTCTTCCCACTAGGAGCCACCAAAGAAGCTTTGGGCTGCTGTGCCCTTTGACCTCCTCCCCTCCTTTTGGAATCAAGGACCCCAGTGAGAAAAGCCCTTACAGCAGGGATAGTATGGAGCCCAGGGCTGCTGTCCTTTGTGCTGAAGACTTTGCCAGCAAGAGACTCTCATTGTCCCCATTTGCCAACAGTTCTGAAACCAAGGATCCAGGGGGAGACGGCTGGCTCCTGATGGGGGAAGGGGCTACCCAGAGGCACTGTAAGAACAGAATGCTGGACTAGATGGCTTCGATCTTACGCATTTCTATCCCACAGGTGTGATCTGACTTTGTGCAGGTTTCTTGTACCTTAAGGACGTTTTGTTCAGATGTGGCTGTATGAAGGGGTGGCTGAGAAACCGACCCAGCACCTCAGGGATCCGGATTCCAGGGTCGAGGAACTTGATGGTGGGCTCAAACAGGGTCTTCCAGGGCAATTTGCCATACCGTCTGTGGGCTTCTTCATAACCACGCAGTTCCCCGGGGACAGCGATCCACCGAGGCCCTACTTTGAAGCAAATCGGACGCGTCATTTTACAGCTTCCCCACAAAGGTTCCCTTTCTAGGCGCCTTCCTCCTCACTGCAGTTACCAAATGGGAGCTCTGAGACAATTCTCTTCCTCCAAATAAGACTGTGGCTCAACTCCTTGCCAGCCTGTAAGGAAAACCTGGGGATCTCAGTTGTACTTCAGAGCAGGAGGAGCTAGTCCTGATGACAGCTTGGCATCCTAGAATCATAGAACTGTAGAACTGGAAGGGACCCTAAGCATCATCTATCCATGGGTAGGCAAATCAAGGCCTGAGGCCTGGATCCAGCCCAATCACCTTCTAAATCCGGCCTGCAGACAGTCCGGGAAATCAGCATGTTTTTACATGAGTAGAATGTGTGTTTTTATTTAAAATGCATCTCTGGGTTATTTGTGGGGCATAGGAATTTGTTCTTTTCTTTCCCCAAAAAAATATAGTCCAGCCCCCCACAAGGTCTGAGGGACAGTGGACCGGCCCCTGAATATTGCGTAGGTCATGAGTAGGCAAACTAAGGCCCGGGGGCCGGATCCGGCCCAATTGCCTTCTAAATCCGCCCCACGGGCGAGTCCTGGAATCAGTGTGTTTTTACATGAGCAGAATGTGTGCTTTTATTTAAAATGCATCTCTGTGTTATTTGTGGGGAATAGGAATTCGTTCATATTTTTTCCCCAAAATATAGTCCGGCCCCCCACAAGGTCTGAGGGACAGTGGACTGGCCCCCTGCTGAAAAGGTTTGCTGACCCCTTTTCGAGTCCAACCCCCTGCAATGCAGGAATATTTTGCCCACTGTGGGGCTCAAACCCACAACCTTGAGATTAAGAGTCTCATGCTCTACCAACCGAGCTATCCCTTGGTCAGGAGATCTTGTGGTCTTGCGGCACAAGGGCCATTGACCAGAAATGGGGTGGGGGCCTCAATGCTTCTCCTCTTAAAGGGATCCTTCTCCTCTTCAAGGGAATGACTCAGTCGTCACCTGTGAGCAGTGGGGGGAGCTGCCCCTCCCTCACAACCCTCCTCCCCTCAGCCTTTTTTATATACAAGGACTCTTCTTACCTGGAAAACCCTTCTTACTGCACTCAGCCATCAAATTGCCAGAGATATTCTGCGGGGCCCTCTCGCGAGCATTGAGCACCTCCACTTTCCCTGGAGAAATCAAAGGGGCAAATGCCAAGGTGAAGATTGGAGGAGGAGTTTAGATTTGATACCCTGCTTTATCACTACCCTAAGGAGTCTCAAAGCGGCTAACATTCTCCTTTCCCTTCCTCCCCCACAACAAACACTCTGTGAGGTGAGTGGGGCTGAGAGACTTCAGAGAAGTGTGACTGGCCCAAGGACACCCAGCAGCTGCATGTGGAGGAGCGGAGACGCGAACCCGGTTCACCAGATTACGAGACTACTGCTCTTAACCACTACACCACTGGGACCAATGACCTCAGGCAAACTGGCTTCTCCCATGGCTGTCCCATTTACAGAGGAAGCTGCCTTATTCAGAGTCAGACCCTTTGTTCCATCTAACCCAGTACTGCCTGCACTGACCAGAAGCAATGGCTCTCCAGGGCTTCAGACAGGATTCTGTCTCAAGCCTGGCTGGTGCTCTGAACCGCAGGCCGGAAGGAGGGCCTGTGTGACTGGTTTGGTGCAGGGATACCAAAGAAGGATGTCAAACACACCAGAATGGCCTGTTTTAGTGATTTATTTTTTAAAAGGTGTCAACTTACAACAGTGCAAAGTCCTGCTGCCTTTACACAGGGCAAATACCGCAGCAGCGGACTTGTCTGCACCCAGGCAAGTGTTAATAATAATAATAATAATAATAATAATAATAATAATAATAATTGTTGCTGTTGTTGTTTTATTTATATCCTGCCCAGCTGACTGGGTTGCCCCAGTCATTCTGGGCAGTTTCCAACAAGTATTAAAACACACAAAAAAACATTAAAAGCCTCCCTATATAGGACTGCCTTCATACGTCTTCTAAAAGTCAGATACAGTGGTACCTCAGGTTAAGTACTTAATTCATTCCGGAGGTCCGTTCTTAACCTGAAACTGTTCTTAACCTGAAGTACCACTTTAGCTAATGGGGCCTCCTGCTGCTGCCGCGCTCCCACTGCACGATTTCTGTTCTCATCCTGAAGCAAAGTTCTTAACCCGAGGTTCTATTTCTGGGTTAGCGGAGTCTGTAACCCGAAGTGTTTGTAACCTGAGGTAGCACTGTAGTTGCTTATTTCCTTGGCATCTGATGGGAGGGCATTCCACAGGGCGGGCGCCACTACTGATAATCTGTTACTAGAGAAGACCCTAGGCTGGAGAAAGACCATACTCCTCAGGAAGAACTTGCTAAGACTCTGATCCCTTGGGGAACTTGAGTTTGTTTTCCTGGGGGAAAGGTTGTGAGACTGGTGGGGTCGGGGGCTGTATCAGAGCCAAGGGCCTCCGACCCAATAAACCCAAAGTCCAGAACTTTCTTGTCCTTCATTGGGGCTCCCATTGGGGCCATTCCTCACAGGACCCATGCTTCATGGGACATCTTAGCTGCCCTGCCCACAACAGCTGAGAGGTTTGTTGGGTTAGGGAGCATGTTTTGCTCAGAGATTTGGAGAAGGGGCCATTATCTGCAGTTTCAGCACTGCCATGTGCGTGTGTCAAGGGGGAGATTGTGATGATCACCAGCAACGGTGCCACCTTCCCCTGTGCTGCACAGACTCGCGCCATGATCTCTCCAGCGAATAAAGCAAATGTAGATTGCCACAAGCTTCTTACTGATTTGAAAATCAGGAATAGGGGGAGGGTACCCTGTTTGGCTGGGCTGGATGAATCCCAAGCCAGAATTAAGATTGCCGAAAGAAATATCAACAACCTCAGATATGCAGATGACACAACCTTTATGGCAGAAAGTGAGGAGGAATTAAAGAACCTTTTAATGAGGGTGAAAGAGGAGAGTGCAAATATGGTCTGAAGCTCAACATAAAAAAAAAAAAAAAGATCATGGCCAGTGGTCCCATCACCTGCTGGCAAACAGAAGAGGAAGAAATGGAAGCAGTGGGAGATTTTACTTTCTTGGGCTCCATGATCACTGCAGATGGTGACAGCAGTCATGAAATTTAAAAAGACGCCTGCTTCTTGGGAGAAAAGCAATGACAAACCTAGACAGCATCTTAAAAAAGCAGAGACATCACCTTGCTGACAAAGGTCCGTATAGTAAAAGCTTTGGTTTTGCCAGTAGTGATGTATGGAAGTGAGAGCAGGACCATAAAGAAGGCTGATCGCTGAAGTATGATGCTTTTTGAATTATGGTGCTGGAGGAGACTCTTGAGAGTCCCATGGACTGCAAGAAGATCAAACCTCTCCATTCTGAAGGAAATCAGCCCTGAGTGCTCACTGGAAGGACAGATCTGAAGCTGAGGCTCCAATACTCATGAGAGTATTGAAGAGTCCCTGGAAAAGACCCTGATGTTGAGGTGGGGGCAGGACACTTACCTGCCACTGTCCTCTAGCAGATTCAGAAAGCAATGTCTCAACAACGTTCTTTTGTCTTATTTTCCTTTGACCCCAAGCACTCGGAAATATCTGCCAAAATCTTTCTACCGTTTTAGTTAAGTACTTTTATTTGTTGACGGTTTAGGGGAGCCGCGCCATTGGTTAGACAAATCCAGCGGTTCTCAACCTGTGGGTCCCCAGATGTTGTTGGACTACAACTCCCCATCTCCTGAGCGCTGGCCTCGCTAGCTAGGGGTGGTGGGAGTTGTAGTTCAACAACATCTGGGGACCCACAGGTTGAGAAAGGCTGGACAAATCCATGGAGGAGAGGGCTATTGACTGCTACTAGCCAGGATGGCAATGCACTGGCTGGCTCTGTGGGTCAGAGGCAGCAATGATTCTGAATTCCAGCTGCTGGAAACCTCAGGAGGGGAGAAGGCTTTTGTGCCCGAATCCTGTTTGAGGGGTTTCCCCCGCTGCCGCTCCTTTCGGGCCTCTGTTTGACCACCATGTGAACAGGATGCTGGGCTAGATGGACCATTGGCCTGATCCAGCAGGCTCGTCTGGTATTCTTTTATGCTCTTAAACTAAGAAGGCTGTTTGGGTAAAGTAAAGGTAAAGGGACCCCTGACCATTAGGTCCAGTCGTGGCTAACCCTGGAATCCGTTCCCAAAGTCCGTTCGATTTCCAAAATGTTCGGAAACCAAGGCGCGGCTTCCAATTGGCTGCAGGACGTTCGGGTTCCAAAGAATGTTTGCAAACCGGAACACTCACTTCCAGGTTTGCTACTCGCAAGGGGTCCGGGATCCAAGGTATGACTGTAATTCTGCTTTCCCTAGTGCTTCTATTATTGGATAGCTTTAGCATACTCAGGAATCCAAAGTTTTGTGTCTCTTTTGTAGGAAATATATAGTTTTTGTGCATTCTGCAATTTCCATTTTTTTAAATAAGTTTTTATTGTTAAAATAATTCATCATTAATACACATATATTACAAATATACAAGCATACAAACATACATTTCATACAATCCTTAAAAGTGTTCAAACATACCTACACTCATTCCCACAGATAATTCCTTTCCCCATCACCATCCACCACCCCTCAACCCACCTTTGTGTTAGACTTCCAATCTACTCAATTGCAATTTCTTTCCACTTCTATTACTTTCTTTCACACACCTTTAACCTAATTTCATACTTCCTTTTCTATTACACATTGTTATCCAACTTATTTTGTATTTCAGTAATTGAAGCGGAACTTGTTTATTCTAATAGGAGTTCTGATTTTTCGATATGGTTTTGCAAGTATCTTTTAAACACCCTCCAGTCCCTATCTATTGGAAGGATCTCAAATGAGAAGATAGATAGGGACTGCAATTTCCATTTTTAACTGTACTGCTACTCCTTCTGCTGCCTTTCTCCGTCTAATTGTAAGGCTGCCCAGACACCATTCATAATATTCCTCTGCAACTGAAATGTGTGAAATGTCAGGTTTCTCTATCTCCGTAGATAAACTTTTACCTACACATGCCCTAGATCAGCCTTCCAGATGTTTGGGACTGCAACTCCCATCAGCCCTAGCCAGCACTCAGAGCTGATGGGAGTTGGAGTCTAAAAGATCAGGAGGGCACCAGGTTGGGGAAGACTGCACTATACAAGACACAAGACCATTCTCCACCCAGGGGCTCATAGAGACCTCAGTGGGGTAAGGGAACCCTGCACACAGACACAATCTGAATTAAGCAACCCAGAAAGTAAAAGGGAAACAGAAGAGAGGGTTGTCTCTGGCAAATTGGGGCCCTTGGAGCATATGACAGTCACCCCTGGAGCCCCAAGCAAGCGTGGAGGGAAGGGGACTTTTAATGGGGTTCAGGGATCCTGCCCCTGCCACCAAGCCATTACCTTGTAGGACGGGGGAGGCAAATTTGTGTTGTGAATGAGAATGTTTATGCAGACTGTGGACTCAGCTGAAGGTAAAGGTAAAGGGACCCCTGACCATTAGGTCCAGTCGTGGCCGACTCTGGGGTTGCAGTGCTCATCTCGCTTTATTGGCCGAGGGAGCCGGCGTACAGCTTCTGGGTCATGTGGCTAGCATAACTAGGCCGCTTCTGGCGAACCAGAGCAGCGCACGGAAACGCCGTTTACCTTCCTGCCGGAGCGGTACCTGTTTATCTACTTGCACTTTGACAGGCTTTCGAACTGCTAGGTTGGCAGGAGCAGGGACCAAGTAATGTGAGCTCACCCCGTCGCGGGGATTCGAACCGCCGACCTTCTGATCGGCAAGTCCTAGGCTCTGTGGTTTAACCCACAGCGCCACCCGCGTCCCGTGTACTCAGCTATACAGCTGCAAATAAAACGCTTTTAATATAAAGTGCAATACACAAATGCAACACTAGATGGCGACAGTGAGCTACGCCAAGTCCAATGTATTTTTCAAAACTTTTTATTAAAAAAAAACATTTTCACAGCATTTTTTTATATGCGTGTAGATTCCACCTGTGTGTCAATGGGGTGTCAAAACAGAAGCTGCTAGATGTTAGAAGCAGCAGGCAGAAAGAAGTGAGATGGGGGATTGTTGGCCCAGACATGTCTCTGGGGAGGTGGGTCTATGAACCAACACTGCCCCCCCCCACCTGACCTTCTCTTGTTTCCAGGGGGAGTTGACAGCCTTCCACTATACTCCAACCATTTCATCTCACAGGTATAGTTCTCTGAAGGGAAAATCCCCAGGAAGTTATTGCTGTGGGGTGGAGGAATGAATGGTGCTGTTATAACCCCAAGGTTGCAGGTTCGATTCCTATATGGGACAAACTGCATATTCCTTTATTGTAAGGGGTTTGATTTTATGATCCTCAGGGTGCCTTGCAACTCTAGTTTCTATGATCTATGACCATCGTTTGAAACTGGCACTTCTCCAGATTTTGCAGCGCAAGCAACGTGCACGAGAAAGATTAGATAAAGCTTGCGTTTTAAAAATAGATATGTTAGTTAAAAACAGCTTGCAAAAAAAGTGTTACGTACTAGGAGAAAATTTCTTACGAGGACATGTACGTCAGGAGAACTGCACACCAAAATGGCGCTGAGTTTTGTGATAGGAATTTTGAGGTCTTAGATATATGTTAAATGTTCATAAGTGTACCAACGAAGCACGTACATAAATCAGCACAGGAAGACCGACCCGGAACCATTTTTTATTCCTAAACTGTCCCAAACTGACCAAATGTTTTCTCTGCAAGGTCAAAGGAAAATGGAAAAGCCTCCCCATTGTCTTTTCCTTCACAAATCCTGTCTTAAGGGTATGTCTTTGTTTGAATAGGGTGAGCCTGTGACCTGGCTCAGGAACTAAGTATTTATCATTACTAAGTATTTCGCATTACAGAAGACTGGCCAGGCTCCCCAGGGTATCCAATCAAGTAACCTGCCAGACAGGAGAAAAACAACATTCAAATTTATGTTTTAGACCGCCTTTTCTGTGATATAGTATGATGTATTTGGGGTGGTGGTCTTGAGCTACACCCCTTCTGTGATGTATGTATGATGTATGTGGGGGTGGTCTTGATCTACAGGGTGGCAATTTCAAAAGTCTATATAAGGCCTTGCGCACCATTGTTCTGGGTTCCTCCTGCCTCCTGAGTCTGTTGAGTGGGGACCCTGTTGCAACAGATCAATAAAGATCAGGCTTACTAGCTGCTTTGCTTCTCAATATTCTCTGGTTGGCCTCTGTTATTTTCTCCTACCGACAGAGAACCTATGTAAGGACTCTATATGGGCTCTTGGATACCCCCATAAGGGAAAAGGGCAATTTTTGTTTACAACAGTTTCTTTAAAATGTTAATAAAAAAGAATGCAAACTCCCATGGAAATATGGAGAGCTGAATTTAAGACTGGGGAAAATGAGAAAGGGCAGATTTGCCTCCCCTGTCCCTCCATCCAATGGGTGGGTTAAATCCTGGAGTCTCCTTCACAAACCTCCAAGGAAGGTGATCCAACTCTGGATTGGAAAGCCAACA